GTCACCATAGCCCAAGTCACATGGGCTCCACAGAGGGCCTGAATCCATCTGTGGCTTGAATCCAGAGAAATTGTACGCTGTGACAATGTTCATTTCCTCCTGAGATACAGTTTTTTGCTGAGAAGGGGCTCGGTAGCTCGAACCTGGGGAAGCTTCTGAGGCAGTGTCAGCTGGTGGCCATGCTAATGTGCTCAGTGAGTGGATCATGGAGTGGACAGAGAAAGCCAACCGTCCTCAGAGAAAAACCACTCAAAGCCTGGCCTTGCCTTCCCTTATCTTCAAACACACCTCATACTTTATTTCTGTTCATACCAGAGAACAGTCAGATTTTATTCAGAATCCTATCCCAAAGACAGCCGTATTTATAACGCCAGTCTTTTTCCATCCCAATTCAGCCACGTTTCAAGGTGTCTCTTGATCTGGATATTTTGGTAAGCTTGTGATAAGCAAGACCCCGAAGCTGGCTCCGGGTAATGTAAGGATGGTTTGTACTGGGACTGATGTCACAAGGCTGTGAGCTCACTGGGTAAAGTCAGGTTTCTGATCTTACCTAAAACTCTCCAGCCAGCATACCAGAGAGGAAGACGGTATTTTTCAAAATATTGGGAGCACATTTGTGAAAACAGAATCAATGGTAAAAACATTTAGGTCCACATTAAAATGCACCCATAGTTAAGTTTCAGGCTAGATTTTGTTGCCAAATGAGCTAGAAATTTGATTTTCAGAGCCCTGTGGATTTCAGAATTAGGAATTTGTAGTTAGCTCCAGGTTTTTGCTAGTACTCACCTGGTAATTGGTCCCAACTGTCCTTATTTTCTAAGTAAGAAAAGCATGTGAAAACACCTAGCTGGTGGCTTTGTCATGCACTCTCTGGCCCTTCTGTAGTCAGCAGGAAGCCAAAATCTAAGTGCTGGGCAAGGAGAGCTTGTCGTGGTTCAGAGAGACCCCCTAGATTGGTGGTTCCCAACATTCCTGATGCGACCCTATAATACAGTGACTCCAACCGTAAAGTTATTTTGTTGCTCCTTCATAACTGCAATTTTCCTACTGTTATGAGTAGCAATATAAATATCTGATAATCAGTATATCTAATATGCTACCCCAAAGGTGTTGAAAACCACAGTCTTGGAGCCTTATATGCAACCCTGTCCTTTTTTTAGGATTTAGGAAGGAAAACCTAAGGCCCACTATGCAAAAATAGGACCTTGTCCAGGGCTCTGCAACCTTACACCAAGCAGCTTAGGGTTTGACCCTTTTGTGCTGTGGAACCCTGCAGGCTGTGAATATGTGTTCTCATTGGTTGATAAATAAAGCTGCTTTGGCCTATGGCAGGGCAGGATAGATTGAGGTGGGAAATCTAAGTAGAGATACAGGGGAAGAAAGGTGGAGTCTGGGAGATGCCAGGAGCCGCTGGAGAAGCAAGGGGTGAGGTAACAAGCCACAAGCCTCGTGGTGAGATATAAACTAATAGAAATGGGTTGATTTAAATGTAAGAGCTAGCCAGTAATAAGCAGCCATCAGCCAAACAATTATAATTAATATTAATATTAAGCCTCTAAATAATTATTTTATAAGCAGCTGCGGGGGCCGGCGGGAGGGAAAGAAACTGGTCCCGGAAAGAAAGCGGGACCAGGTGAGACAGAGAAAAGCATCACCTCTGTCCTTCCCATTCACATCACTTGATAGTTTATATGGGTTTATGACAGGCCTAGTAAACCTCGGAGGCCAGAGTCTCAGGTATCTGTTAGCTACCCTTTGGCCTGTTGTATTCCTGGGTAAACAGGCTAATAATCATAGGGTGTGGCTTCCTTTTGAGCCCTTTGGAGACAGTGCAAATCATGGTAAGGATCGCCAGTAGAGAAGCCCACTGCAGATAATTCTGATCACTCTGAGCTGTGGCTTCTGGGGCATTGTGCCACACTCACTATAAACCGGGCTTCGCATCTCTGCCCAGTTTCCACATGGGGAAACAGGCACCTTGAGAAGTCAGATCTTTGCTTCCCTGTCAGGCGCATTTTATGTTCAGGGAAGCTATTCATCAGAGGACAGATGTGTACAGACGGTCTACCTGCCAGCTCTACGTGTGAGTTTTCGAAAAGGGCAATTTCTGGAAAACCAAGATGGAAGCCAGTGGAAGCCTGCACGGAGCAGGGATGTGAACCTTGACCTAGCAAATCAAGAATGGCTCCCAGGGGTGAAAGACGACTGGACAGCATTTGCAGTGGGACGTGAGCAGTAAAACTATTAGCCAGGCTGGAATTGGGAATCGGATGCTGTGTCTTCCAGAACACTCTAGTTAGTCAAAGAGCTGAGCAGTAGGAAAAGGGTGTGATTTCCCACAGGGAAATCCTCCAGACCTCAGTCACACACTTGGGCATCACGCATGCCTTGTTCCAGGCTACTTTACCATAGCCTCACAGTTTGTTGAAGCAGGCTTCATCATCACCAGTGAATTCTACAAAAATCCACCTTTTCTTCGTCGGGTGCCTTCACACTGGCTTCAGCCTGTCTGTTCTCACACGAACACTGACTTTCTCAGTTTGTCCCCTTAAGTTCGTCTGCCCCTCCCCAGGTCCTCGAAAGCTGCAGTGCTAGCTGCCCTCGGGTAGCTTGGCCAGCCATCAGGCCACGTCTTCCTGCAGATGACTTTTGATTTCAATGTCCCACCGCCAGGCTATGACTGTGTGGACTGTGTCCACCGTCACCTCTCACAGACCCTGGGATTTGTCACCTGAGTCTTGCAGCTGATGCAAATGCTGCAGCTGATGTCGACTTCCCAAAACATGCACTAACAATTAATTTTTCTTTCAAAACTAAAAGTTAAAATTGGAAGTGATCACTATCTAGAATCATTCGCTCAATGAATATTTATCGTGTGCTTAGAGTGTGCCTGGCATAGGCTGGGAACTAAACAGACCAAAATCTCTGCCTTCATAAAACTTAAATATGATTGAAGACAGTGATATAGAACTGAGTATCAAGAGCCTCCTCACGTGTTCTCAGTTACTTTCTCTTTATCTGAGTCATCCCCTGACACAGTCTCGCACACACACACCCACCCACCCACACACACACACACACACACACACACACACGCTGGTAAGGAAAGCACGGGGATGACATCGCATGCTATAGTACCAAGGGAAGACATGTTCCAGACAAGATATTAAGTACAGAGACTGCCTTAGTTAGGGTTCCTATTGCTGTGAAGAGACACCATGACCATGGCAACTCTTATAAAGAAAAACATTTAACTAGGGTGGCTCGCTTACAGTTTAGAGGTTCAGTCCATTATCATCATGGTGGGACATGACAGCAAGCAGACAGACATGGTGCTGGAGAAGTAGCTGAGAGTTAGTTCTATATCTTTCAGGCAAACAGGAAGTTGTCTGAGACTATGGGTGGTATCTTGAGCATACATGAGAGCGCCAAAGCCCACCTCCACAGTGACACACTTCCTCCAACAAGACCACACCTACTCCAACAAGGCCACACTTTCCAATAGTGCCACTCCCTTTGGGGGCCACTTTCTTCTAAACCTATACAGAAGCCCCGGGATTCTAGAGAGCTATCTCCTCTGGCGTTTTCCCAAATTCTAGTTTTAAAAAGGCAGGTCAAAGCTGGAGAGATGGCTGAGAGGGTAAGAGCACTTACAGTCAACCCTGAGAACTTAGTGTGATCGCCAGTGCCCGGTGCTGGGAGGAGTGGACCAGTTGTTGCAAGTTTTCCTCTCACCTCCAGACCATGGCACACATACACATGCACAAACACACAAACCAATACATGTAATTTTAAGAATTAGTTTCAAATACCACTATCCTAAGGGTACTGTGCTGTGTATTTTTTTTTCCAACTTGACATAAGCTAAAGTCTTCTGGAAAGAGGGAAACTCGAGTGAGAAAATACCTCTAACACACTGGCCTGTCAGGCCGTCTGTGGAACTTTTTCTTGATTAATGATTGATGTGGGAGGGTCCAGATACTGTGGGTTGTGCCAACTTTTGGCAGATGGGCCTGGGTCCTTTAAGAAAGCAGGCTTTGGGAACCCCTGACATGTGCTGATAACCCCTGATGATATGGCTTCATGGATGGATGATGGATGGATGGGGTCCTCTTTGGGAACCCTTGAGACTTGCTGATAATCCCTGAATCAAGGTTTCCCTCTCAAGTGACTCTCAGCTGTAGCAAGCAGACTAGGACAATATTCAAAAGACTGAAATCAGAATATTGACGATACACGAAGAGCCCCGCCCACAGGACCCACCCATCATCTGTGTTTGTGTGCACACCAGAGCAGCAGCACCCTTCAAGGAGAGCCTGATGTGCAGTGCAGAGGACACACCGTGTGAAATAAACCAGGTCCCAAGGACAAAGACTGCAATCCCTCTTGTAGTAGCCTAGTCAAACTTGGATAAACACAAAGAACTGGGGCCATCAGAGACGAGAAGAAGGGGAAATGGAGGCATCTGGCCAATGCGCACAGCTTCGGTTTAGTGAGAACCTGGGGACGACTGCACAGCAAGGTGGACAGGCTCTGCAGACCTGCAGTAAGTTACGATGGTACCTTCTTAAAACATACCTCAGTGTGCACCGGCCTCTACATACCTTAATGTACTTCTGTCTCTGTTGAGTCTGCTGTACCAAAGTGGCTGTCCTACTAAGTGCATTTCACTCAGGGATTATTACCTAGTAAAAGTACTCAACACACACACACACACACAAACAACCAAAAACAAACAAACAAACAAAAACAAAAAAAACCCCAACTCATCAAGCAGGTCAAACATCCTGGAGACAGGTTAGCACTTTTCTCCTTCCAGCTCATCACAGGCATGTCAAAGGCACTGACTACGTAATCATCACAGGCACTATTTTTGCGAGGTGTTCATACCAAACAGCACCCCCACATCTGACCGCAAGCACCCGCACGTCACCCTCTTAAGTGTCAGCAGACACTTAGCTCTCGACTGCTCTTGACGCCGGAAGGAATTCTAATACATATTTTCCAGAAAAAGTATTTATTTGACATCATTAAAAAAATATTTAGGCACATGATTTTTTTCATGTTTATGTCACCTGATTTACATACCTCAATGCTCAGTACCTTTTAAAAACACTAAGTAAATTGGTAAATAAAATCTATATTGAAGAAACATTGTGAAAGGCGGACATCTGGGGCAAGTGAGTCATCAGCCCAAGAAAAGAATTTCTGTGAACAAATACTCTACAAACATTTCTGTGAGACAGTAAAATCTAACCAGTAGATTTCTTCTTTAAAAATATTTTCAAAATAAAGTTTAAAACACACAACACCAGAGTTTCTCATCACTCCACAAGGTGAGACGCCAACAGGAAGAGTGACGGCAACAAGGACCTCCAACAGCTGCCCGAGGTCGAGGAAGCAGTCCAGTGTGTTTCGTTCTGAGGCGAGGGAGGAAGGCCTGGGAGCTACCTTAGGGCGACAGCTGAGTCTTCACTGAACCTCCATTCTGAAATGCAACTACCTCCCACTGAGATAGAAAACAGTTCTTGGTTTTTCAAATTTGCCATCAGAATATGAAAATACTTTTCTTCTTAAAAAGCAGAATCACAGTGGCTGTAATTATATGGAGAGCATTTTTGTTTTGTGTTTTCAAAAGGATAGAGGACTGAGACTGTCACCTAGGCATCAGGAGGCAAGGCGGCACACAGGCTATGCAAGCTGCTGGCCCTGAATGAAGGCAGTCGTCCCCGAAGGGATGCCGGACCTGTGTCTGCTGTGTGCGTACGGAATGGGTGGAGTGGCACCTGCACTCACTCTCAGCATGTCTCCCCAGGGAAGGGAAACTCCACTACAGCCTGTTCATGGGCACAACCAGCATCGCACAGGTGCTGGAAGAAGAACATCCAGGTCAGGGGAGGGGCTCAGGGTAGGCAGTTCTGGGAGCTGCATGGCTCATCTGAGCTAGAAGATGATCCAAGGACCAAGTCCTCTGAAATGGAAACACTGTTCTTTCAGGGTAGACCTAAAATGAGCATCTCTCCAAAACTGCAGACAGAGGCTTCACCTACAAATCACTGCATTCTCTCGTTGTGTCCTTTCAGCTAAGGTCAGACCTCTGGATGAAGACTTGGGAGTCCCAGACTATATCCTGCTTACGTGTCCACATGCTGCTCACTAACCCTTCCCTCCCCAGAAGAGCCAGCCTGCAGCCCTCGGTGTGCCTGTGAACCGGCCAAGAGAGAGAACCACTAGCACTCTGTGGAGACCCTGCCTCAGCTTTACTGACCAAAACCTCTCACAGATTCTGGATACAAGGCTGCAGAAAACTTGCAAATGTGCTTTTTTATATAATTTATATTCAAGGTGGAGCCTACAAATAAAATTTTTAAATGGGGGGGGGAATCACAACTCTCTTATTCCCCAATGAGGCACAAAAATTACAGACTACAGCTCTTCAGCGTCTCCCCGGGGCTCCGGGTTCTCTGGGGAGTAGGCAGGGCCGGTACTTCTAACGTCACAGGCCTGCAGTTCCGGGGGGCTGAAGTGACCAGCGCACAGTCCCGGAGTTTTCAAGCTGGACAGAGAGCCAAGTTCTCCATCTTACATTCAGTTTATGGCAGGAGCGAGCTTTTCTCGCTGCCACCAGATCATCTCTGCATCCCTACACTCAGTACAGTGCCCAACAGGTATGCGCAATGCATCACTGTTGAGTAAAGAACTGAGTAACAACTGGCTTCCTCCACCCCTTGCTTGTCTCTACTGAACAAAGAGGAACCAGACATTCCAAGGCACACTCTGCTCACCCCACACAATCCAGGGAAGCAAAACAGTTCAGAAAAGCCTCGTGGGATTTCTAGTGCCAAAGTTGTCACCTTTGGCAAACGTAGTGACACTATGAGCATAATGCAATTAAAAAAGAAAGAAAGAAGTTCAGATCCTCTGTTGCATTTCCAGCTAAACTGCCCCCAGAGACAGCCCACTGGAAGGCAGCTCTCGCTGGAACACATTTTATATCCTGCCAGGGTCACCTGGATGGCAAGCTACAGGGTAGATATCAAAACACTTGATGCTTCACTGTCAGAGAGAAGAAAAATAAATTAAACCCACCCAGCACATTTTCCAGTCTGCTATAAATTAATTTAAACATAGTTCACATACAGTCAATAAATTTTCAAAGTCAACAATCAATCCTAGGGTCATACAATTGCAAAGGAATATTACTCCCCAGTCAGGACGCCTCAGTGTCTTCAGAGTACACGAGCGGGGGCCGTCAGGTCATACGGCTCCTTTCCCCTTGGTGTCCATCTTGTTACTGGTCTCTGACTGTTTGCTCATCTGCTCCTCCGTGAAAGTGATGTAAGAGTACACCAGGCTTCCAGCAATACTGCAAGACAGACAGTCATCATGAGATGGGGAAAGGAGATGGGAGGGCTGAGTCGTGTCCCCTGTAATGGGGAAAAGTCTGATTAAAAGTTAAATGCTCTGCCGTGAGAAATTCTATATAAATCCACACAATGGAATACTACACACCCATTAAAATGCTATGAAATGAAGCAGGCAATGACATCTTAAATGAGAAGAAATGCACAAAACATTAAATGTTGGTCACTCTATATGAATACAGCACTATGGACATGTGCTGCAGTTTGTACTCTGGGAGACTGACCAGGATCATTCCCTGTGGCTGCAGCGGGCTGCTAGGATGCTAGGTGGCTCCTCTCTAGTTAGAAGCGAACTCGTGGCCTATGGCAGCTGGTTACTAGCATGCGTCACCTGCTCATGTCCCACACACCAGAGTGTGTCCATGGAGACAGTGAGCTCTGTTGTTTCTCCAGGGGGACTTCACACCTTCCCGCCTCTAAAACTAAGCTGTAAGCTGGAGGGGGTCACAAACAGCACGCCTGTCTGACTCTTCACTTGAGGCTGCCAGTACTCATTCCACTGGGTCACCTGAGAGCCTGGCTGAGAGTCAGCTGAGAGCCTGGGCTGGACTCTACCCTTAAAATTATCCTGCCCTGGATCTGGCCCCCATCTTCATCCTGGCCACAAGGCTCATTGGCATGTTGCTCACTTAAAACTCATTCTGTTTTCCTCTGGGCTTTGATGTCACAGGCCCAGCCCAGCTGTGAAGGGTGAAAACTGCCAGCCTCGGGCTCCCATGAGGAAGGAACTGAAGTTAGGAGCTAATACATCACTACCCACTGTGAGCCCTCCCTCCATCCACACTATATCAGCTTCCTTTAGTCTAACCTCCCTAGCACCATTCCTGTGGACCACCTCTCGAGTGCTGGGATTAATGGTGTGTGCCACCACCTCCTGTGCGCTCGGGAGGCAGAGGCAGGCGGAGCTCCATCAGTTCTAGCCCAGTCTGGTCTACAAAACAAGTTCCAGGACAGCCAGGGTTGTTACACAGAGAAACCCTGTCTTGAAAAACCACAAAGAAGAAGAAGAGGAAGAGGAAGAGGAGGAGAAGGAGCAGGAAGAGAAGAAGAGGAGGAGGAGGAAGAGGAGGAGGAGGAAGAGGAAGAGGAAGAGGAAGAGGAAGAGGAAGAAGAAGAAGAAGAAGAAGAAGAAGAAGAAGAAGAAGAAGAAGAAGAAGAAGAAAAGTGGGAGGAAAAGGAGGCAGCCACTGTGCATCCAGGCTTATCTGGAAGATTAAATGAGATTACATGCACTGAGAATATAATTATGAGCTGGGACTGTAGCTCAGTGGCAGAGTGCTTGCCCAGCATAAGGAAGGCTTTGTGCTTAATCCCACTACAAATAAAAATAAAAATAAAATCCATGTTAATACACATGTGTGTGCACGCACGCACGCACACATGCGCACACACAGAAAGAGCACTATAACACAGTAGTCAAGAGGGGATACTCCTGTTCTCCTACTTTCCTACTGATCCTGATACAGAGGAGAGGTAGAGTCATAAGTACCTTAGCCTATTCATGACACTACAAAATACTGTAAACCAGACAGCATATGAACAACAGATATCTGCTTCTCTCAGTTCTGGAGCTGGGCAGTGCAGAGCAGAGGTGGAAGGTGTATGTGAGCCTTCTTACTGGGTCCTTGAATGAAGGAGGCAGGAGGGGTCCCCCTCTTTGCTAGGACACCAATCTCAAGAAAGCTTCATCTTCAAACTCTACCACCCTCTCTCCCAAAGCTTTATTCCTAAACCCCTGACCTTGGGAGTCAGAACTAGAACACGAACATTGGGGGACACAGTGTGCAGTCCACAGCAAGGGACAAAGGGAAATTGCTGCAGCCTGTCCAAGGGAGCCTTCAGGTCTTCCACTCTGATTTGATCATCACCAAGTACTTTATTTACAGAAATGCCAATTCATGGAACTAAATATCTACCAAAAACATGTATATGCATATTAAAACTAAGAACCAGTCATTATACAAGCCTTTCTAAAAATGTGAACATAAATATTAAAGATCCAAGTATTACTAATCCAGAGACCTGCTGTGATAGACACAGCTGGGGGAGGAGGAGGAGGATGGGTGTGAGGGAGGAACAGGAGGAGGAGGAAGAGGAGGAGCAGCAGGAGAAGCAGCAGCCATCCTTTCCTACAGACAGAGGGGTCTAGTCAGGTTACTGCAGTCTGGCCTGAAACTGCACACCCACCTCTCCCAAGTGTGACCCTGTGGAAATCTGAAATGGTAGCAGCCGGGCTGAAATACCTCTGATCACACAGCCAGCGGTTTCTAGATTTACCGCATGCTGGGAGTGGAGCTCAGCAGGTAGCCAGCCAGCCTCGCCCATCAGAGGCTTGGTCCCCAGAACCCTCTACAGTGGGACAGTTGATGCGCATAGTCTGAGTAGTGAGTAAAAGCACACAGGCCTGCAGCTCCCCACACTGCAAAGCCAGAAACGGGAGGGTCTGAACTTCAAGTTCACTTCAATCAGCTGGAGGCCCATCTGGGATAAATTAGATTCTGTCATAAAACAACAAAAGGGGCTAGAGAGATGGTTCAGTGGTTAAGAGCATTTACTCCTCTTTTTGAAGAGCTGAGCTCTGTTCCCACTACCCACGTGGTGGCTCATAACTGTCTATAACAGTTCCAGGGGATCCAGTGCCTCTTTTGACCTCACAGGCTCCTGCACATACATGGTATACATGCATACACCCAGACACAGACATACACGCATATAAAACAAATACATATTTTTTTTTAAAAAGAAAAGTTACCTCCAAGACACACAGTTACAGCCATGTTCACTATCTTACAACAATCAGATACTCAGTCTATAAACTCCATCAGTGCAGTAATCCCATGGCAGGAGATCAGAATCCTACAGTCACTGCTGCCTTCATGTTGTTTACCACGGACATTTAGTGTGTGTAAGTCTAGGCAGACAGCTCTGCATTCTGTAAGGCAAATATGCCAATCCACTTAAAACCTATGACTCGAGAATTCGATTTCTGCTATTTCCGAACAAGTACAGTCCCTGACAAACAGCTGACTCCAGGTGTGGTCCTCCCACAGAAGCAAGACCACTCTCAGCTCCCCCAGAGCAAAAACAAAAACGAAACAGAACAAAAAACTAAGTCACACGATATTACACTCAAATTCCACCAACATCCTTCCCTTTTCCCAAAATAATTTTGCACTGACCAAACCGTCCTCCGAGTCCACTCCTTTCGCTAGCTGAGTGCCGTCCCCTTCACTGCTCATCCCTGATGTGTGTGGAGGCCCCGCTCTGGAAAATTTCAGGTCAGTTTGCTTGCTCTTCTCTCTAAAGTTGGGGGCTCACTCCCTTCATTCCCAGTCTGAACATGAAATGCAGCCACAACCCTTCCTAGTCAGCTTTTCCCTGTCTCGTTCTTCCCATGACTTTCTCTCTAGCTAGCAGAGCAAGCATCTCTACTACAAGGAAAATTCCAGAAAGACAAGGCTTCCGGTTCATTCCAGAAGCTCTAGCTCAGCTGCCTCAGCCAGCTCTGAGCACATGTTTGTTTATAAATAAATCTATCTTCCTGGCCAGATTAGACACCCTGAAGAGGAAACTCCTCTCTGGTTTGGCCTTGTGAGCACCTGCTTTATTTACTCTAAGGATCAAACGGATCCAACAATCCAACAGCCCCGTCTACCTTACCTGCCAGCGGAGCTGAAAGAACAAGGACAATTCAATAGCAGACAGACGGTGAGCGAGGAGAGCAGAACGCAAAGCGAGCTGCTGCCTCCCAGGTATCTGTTTATGTCCTACCTATACCAAAATAAGTGTTGGTCTTCGCACACACTTCAAAAATAGAAATGTATTAGTCACAGAAGAGTCTGGCTAGGCTATGAACCATCCCATCTGCCTAGGAGATTTGGGAGACTGCCCAGGAATAAATTTAGAAGGAAAAAAAAAAAAAACAAGATCCCCAAACCCTTGACAAGGATATCGCTTGCTTTATTAACATGCTAGACAAACACTTTTTCCAGATCAGAATTCCGGTGAGGCTACTTGTGTATCCTTGGGTTCTGAGAGAACAGGTAAGCGCAAAGGAGGCCAGCCTGAGCTCCTGTTTGGCACGTCCTACCACTCCTGGGTGTCGGCTAGGAAGAGGTTTCTAAGAGAGCAAGTGTTCGTTTCTGCTGTTTGCTTAAGTATCCTTGACACTTAGGACTTGGCATTTCTGTCACTTTCTCTCTCGTATCTGACTCCCTCCTTTCCTCTCTCTTCAACAAAATTTAAAACTGAGTAGATTCCCACTAAACTAGGAGAGCAAGTTGATGAGTTTTCCAAACCTGTGGGAAACTTCTTCAAATTTCCAAGTCTTCTACAAAGTGACCTCCGTCACAGAAGACACCAGGCAGATTAAAGCCGCCGAGGAGCCAGAGCAAATGGTACAGACAACTTAAAGTGAAAGCCCACATTTTAAAAATGAGACGCTAAGGTCCTGAAGAGAGAACAGTAGGTAACTGGTAGCAACAGCAGCAGCAGAACATAGGACTTTGCTACATTTCAGTCCTGCTCTTCCCTCTTCCCACGGAGATATCATCAGAGCTAGCTGGCTTCTCTGCAATTTGTTCAAAAGTCCTAGCTACACTAATGAGAAATTATGTGTGTGTGTGTGTGTGTGTGTGTGTGTGTGTGTGTGTGTGTATGTATGTAAATATCCATAAAGAGCCTGGCAGGTGTGACCTCAGCAGTCACTAAAGGAATACAAATATGTCTTTCTCTTTCTCCAAATGAGAGCCACCAAATAAAGGGAAGCTCAGGCTTGTACTTCAGAAGACTGGACCAGACAGATCTTTAAGACGGGAAACACTCAGGAGAAACACCCTGGCTCTAAAAAACCACACACAATTTTAAGGAAAGAAGCAAAGGGGAAACACTCAGGAGAAACACCCTGGCTCTAAAAACCACACACAATTTTAAGGAAAGAAGC